GAATCTAGTGTTCTGAGGGATTCTTTGTCTCTTTTGGTGGAGAAGGGGAAAGGGGAGAGTAAAGGAGGGAAGAGGTAAATGAAGCAAAGGAGTAAGAATACTGCTAGTAAAAGGCAAGACGTTAATTTTGTTCCTCATTGCATCACACATAAATTAGGGACTGGCTTTCCCCCGATGTCTTATCGAGCACTGAGTTGCAGAAGAGACGAGAGCCCATTTCTACTTGAGCTTGTGACAGTATGTGACATTTTATAGATACAAATAATTTACCCTGATCAAACACTATATAGCAGCAGGCTAATTCTCCTATTTTGAGAGACAAGAAAACAAGAGTTCAAGGAGGGTGTATAACTTGACAAAAGTCAGAGGACCAGTAAACTAAAGAGGATGAATTCAAACTCAGCTCCTAAGGCAGAGTCTGAACTTCCCACTCCCAGGACAGGAAAACCCTTAACACACAGGTTCCCCAGCTCCAGTGCATTGTTCCTGACACCAAGCATTTCCCATGGCGATGGTCTCCAGGTCTCACAGACACAGCGCTCTGTGCAGCCAATGACCTTGATCGGACCTTGATCATCTACCTACCACGCCCACCAGGCTTCACCATATAGGCAGGAGAGCTGGCTTTCAAGTGCATACAAAGCCACCCCTGGTCTAACCTGGGCTCTTCTGCGGCTTCTCCAGCCTGAAGGCAGCCATGAAACTGCTCAGTTTGTTCATGAGCCACACTGTCTCTCTCCATCTGTCTCCCCACCTATACTACTTAGTTATGACCATTTTGATAATCTTGGAAACAAATTTTTTAAAAACAGAAAAGAAAGGGCTCTGGAACAAGTACTTAACACTTACAATTTTAAATGACAAGTTACAAAGTGAGTATTTACAAAACGAATCTGCCTTTCTAGGTGTCAGTTTTAAGCAGTTAAAAAATATATAGCAAAAAATTCTCACTTACAAAATTAACAAAACATAAACAATGATCTGGACTACACTCAAAAATAATGTCCATGTTCTAAACGGAGAAACTACAGGACTGTACTGAGGGGTAAAGTAAGAGGTGTGAATGTAGAGAGATCAACATATTGCATGGAGGAAAGCAGCTTTCTAAAGATGTAAGTTCTCCTAAAAATAATTCAAAACTTCTAAAAAAAAACCCATGAAACCTCCAATCTGATTTTTTTTAACTTGAACAAAATATTTAAAACTATGCAGGAATAATAAAGTCATAATACTAGCCAAGAAAAATTGGGATGGAAGAAAAGAATAAAAAAGAATCACACTGTTAGATATTAAATAAACTTTAACAACATGTAATATATGGTGCCGGAGTTAGAAAGCATAGATTGACAAAGGAATCATGAGCTCGAAAAGAGACTCTAGTGAATGTAAGTCTTTTGTACAGGTGGGATTTCAAATTAAAGAATAAAGAATGACTTCAATAATTGTCCTGGGACAATCAGAGAGTCACCTGAAAGAACAAATTGTATTCCTGTCATAATGACCACAAGAAAACTTACAGAAAGTGATGTAAATGTCAGAAAGTACTAATAACAGCAAATACCACTCTTTGCTCTATTAACTCAACGTACCCTCAGTATAACAAGTACCATTATCATCTCCATCTTAGAGATGAAAAAAACCTACGGAAGAGATTTATTCATTGTAAGAAAGTATTTCTAAGAATAATACCAAAGATAAAACCCATAAGGAAGACATTTACTATCTCAAGAATATTTTGGGCCACAACAACAACAAAAAAAACCTCCTGAACAAAGTGAAAGGCAAGCAATGTCAAGAGAAAGCTCTGTGATACATGTTGATGAAGACAAGGGGTTAATGTTCATAACATACAACGAGCTGTCACAAAGCAACCAGAAGCTCCCTCACTTAAATGTGTGCAAAGGACAAAAGGGATCATCCATTTTAAAAAAAAGTCAATGGCTAATGAGTGAAAAATTCTAATACCTCACTGGTCATCAGATGCAAACTAAAACAATGAAAAAA